GTCGAATGACCATATTCTGAGAAACTCCTATACATGAATATGTATATATACATATGTCACTTGACGAAGGCAGAAATGAGTGGAGTAAGATTATGCTTTCAATGTTAGATTAAAAATGGCAAAATTGCTTAATTACTAGAGCATCACTTTACTAATATAGGTCTATGCAAGTTTTAGTTTAATTATAATTGGATAAAAGATTTTAATACAGTTTTTGTTGCTATAAAAACATACATCATTAGCATCACATAAGACTAACAGGAATAAATTTTAAAATGATTAACCTCAAAAATATCAAAATCACTTTACTATTTTTTTACAGAAAAAGTAAATAACTAAATTAAAAGTTCAGGTGTTATGATGCACATATGCAATTAGTTCCCAATCCTGTAAATCCTAATAGAATTCTGAATCAACAAGTAGTTGGATCATCATCTGGAATACTAAGTACTTTAAAGTTATGTTGCTGTATTATATAATATTTGCATAATTAATATTCATGCCAAGTCAGCATCAGATTTTAAAGACAGAACACTGCAAAAATTCTTTGAAATGAAATTTTTTTTGCTTATTTTACAAATCCAAATTCTGAAAGTTTAGTAAAATTTTTAAAAAGGGATATATTTTTAATATTTATGTATAACTTATTTTTTTTAGGTGGAGACTGTATACTGACTCCAAATAAATTCTTAAGCAAATTACAAGAACTAAAATGTTTTGTATCAAAAGATCTCTGAAGCAACTTTAAATACCTCAAGTGTACAATTTCCTTTTTCATAAATAAAATTGCAAATCTGAAAATTAATAACCAAAGGAATGCTTAACAAACAAGAAATAATGAGTTTCATTTCAACACTGAATTAAGGAAACATGGTTCAATCATTATACAGTACAAAGTCCAAAATCAGGACTCATCGGGGCTTCTGCGATTCTGGATTTCACATTTTTCCGGATATTAGATTATCAGTTAAAATCTGGTAAGCTGGCATGCAGAAATTATACAATTAAAAATATGAAATCGTAATTTATGAAATAAAAAGCAATTATGATCTAAAGGGTATTAAAATTTACAAAAAAAAAAAAAAAGCTTAATATTTATTTGTTTACTTTATTAAACATTTCTCTCAATGTAAGTTGTTCAAGTTGCTTCATTTTCTGGCTAATACTTTCTCTTTAATTCTATAAACAAACATACTTTCTTGTTCAGTTACAAAGTTCCTGTAATGCCTGTGTCGAGAATACGAAAAGTTTACATTATAAAAAACTTCTCATCCCTTAATTTTGCTGCTCGATGCTTCCTCAAATTCCAAAAATTTTTTCTTACCTAAATTGTGCTGTCTGGTGCCAACATATTCTGCACCTGCTTTTGAGTTTATAATGAATAACATATCAGTTAATCTTAATTAAAATAGCACTAGATGTAATTTTTCAGCCTACAAGTTTCAAAAACAAAATCTATTTTTGGCATTATGAAAAAGAAAATTTTGTTGAATTTTTCCTCGTCAACATTTCTTAGAGCATTTAAAAATCTATAATCATTGCCAAGCATAATGTTATAATAATATAAAATGTTGCCATAATCTTGTTATTCAATTACTAATATAAAAAAAGTTTAGACATCACTGCATGAGTTATTACTGAAGCTGTCTACTGAAATACTGTTATTACTGAAGCTGTATTGATAAACATGGGGGGGATGAAAGCAAAATATAATAAATAATGACTCACCAGGTAGGTGTCGGGGATATAAAATACGTGAATGTTTCGGTTTGAGATGTATGCTAAGCAGATACTCAACTAAGGATCCAAATTATTAATCTCACAAATTTATGCTTACATGATTGTTTTTCCATGAGGTATTTTTTTAGTGCCTAAGTGAAATTAACAATCGGAATTTTAAGTGAAAAAATCTCCACGTTTTATTATGGAAAGAAAAATCAAATGTGCATGCATATAATATATATATATATATATATATATATATATATATAAATGTTTGTGGTTTTGAGGTCCATATTTTAGATCATTCCGGATAATGGATGCCCGAATTTCGGACTTTCTACTGTACTTACATTTAACTGAAATCGTGAAATGGGAGAAAGAAGAAGACACTTTCGACACTAAATGCTCACTAAATAACTGCATTCAAATGCAGACATTTAAGCAGATGAACATACATTGCTTGTGAAATTGGAAGGAGAAGACACCTTTGACACTAAATGCTCACTAAATAACTGCATTAAAATGTAGTCATTTAGACAGATGAACATATACTGCTGGACATTAAAACTGTTATAACATGAAGGTGGTATGCAAAAAATATTAAATTTGCATTAAAGGTGGAATTACATATTGTTATAAGTAATTGATTAGCATTCCAGTGCATGTGCACAAAGCAGGTATGAGTTATGTCAGCTATATCGTACAAATGAAAAGATTGTACAGCAGTTTTCTTGTTTGGAAATCACGTTTGAACATTGGTTATTTATACAAAGGTCATGTTATACTTCTGCAAGAATGTGAAACCCCTACCAGCACAGGAACTAAACTGTGGCCTACAGGCTCTGGGGTTTATTTGTTCACGGCATTGTTAATCATGTTTGTCGGTATCCTATGACTGAGGCAAATGTGGAATTGATGGGTCCAGGAGAGGTCCACACTATATCTGAGCAGCCTCTACTTATGCTTAATGTGCCAGATAGGTTGTCCTCTCATCCTTGCAAGATCGTATAGCTACACCACATACCCCAAATCAGGAACTTTGCCAGTAGGCAGGATAGGTTTCTGCATGGACAGTGATATGCCTGTGCCACTTTATTGATGCTGTAGCAGAGACAGGTACAGTTACAGTGGTAGGAATACTGACAACATTTGGGCATAAAGTGGCACCATGTCGGCATTTGAGACAAATCTTAGTTCTGTATACAGCGTCATTGACATAACTGGATGAGGAGGCACTGAGGAGAATGAAGGCTGCCAACTTGCATTTGTTATCATATGGACCCAGCACCTGACATGCTTGTATGCAGTGCCACTGGGTACACATCTTGGTCACTACTTGTTCGCATAAGCTGGCAATGTGGACAGCTGCCATTACACCGCTAACATTTTCAAGATCTGCATGATGCCATCTTTCAACAAGACAACACACAATTATATATATAGTTTGTGGTGTCCTCACCTTTCTTAATACAGAAGGTGTTTAAATGTTAACCTGGTGAGCATGTTCTCCAGATATCTCACGCTATGATAATATCAGGTGATAGATTGCTCAGAGACCGACATGCTACCACACACTATGATTAATGAATTCCGACACAGAGTTGAAGGCACATGGAATGAAGTACCAGTATCTGTAATCAAAGCTCAGTGTGAATAGATGCCCAGCCAGATTACAGCCACTGTTGCTGCCAGAGGTGAAGTTCCATGTATTTACTTTTCTGCATGCTGTTGTACCCCAAACCACTCACAAATTTAATCATATCTTCCTTCCATTATATATACAATAAATAAGATTCTGCTATTTCCTTTCCTTCCTGGTATAGCAATTTTAACAGACAGCATTGTAATTATAGTAATCTTATTGTGGGAAGGATAGGCAAAATTTTTGGGATAATTAGGGAAAAATCATGAATCTTTCATATGGCTTAGGATTTATATTACTAATTTTGCAATTAAAGATTTACAAGCATTAAAGGGGAAGAAATATATATGATAAATGAAACAACCAGTATGTGATAACTAATTATATTATGCATATTGAAATTAAAATTCACATTTAAAAATCTAATTCTGGAAGTACATTCAACATTATTTTAAGATCAAGATTATAATTTAACAGAACAGTGTTTTTATACAACAGGTTCTACATTTAAAGATTTCTTTAAATAGTATGATTTTTTTTTTTTTTTTTTAAATCCAATTTTAACATTGCACCAGGTTTTTTAAGCTCTCACAGGTCTTGCAGTATACCAAACTGCTTCCGGACTACTTATTCCTGTCGACTTAATTCGCTTTTCTTTCCTTTTTAGCTTCATTATTAAACATTGCTTTCTTTACGTTTATGCCACATTAAAATTCATCAGTAAAATCACAAAATGTTTAAAAGCAGCAAATTTTTGGAATTTCTGATATAGTGTTGCCATGAATTTTTTTTTTTATTTTTTTTTTTCTTAGTATTTTCTCAGTTCATCATATCAATATTCAATTTTCTATATAACTTGTATTTATTAAACGTCACTTCCTTGACACTTATGCCCCATAAAATTCAACAACAAAATCAGAAAATATTTAACACAATATCTTAAGAATTTTCAATAGAGAGTGCTGTCATGCATTTCGTTAATATTTGCTATATTATTTCTTTAAAATAATACATGGTGATAATGTCTGGTGGCAACACTCTTTCATTTGAAAAATGATGATTTGGATACAAAAGTGAAATGCAAAAATGAATTAGTGAAAAGAAATCAAGATTAATAGCAACTCAGGCACTAAAAGAAAAGATAATTTAGCATCAAAATCATCTGTTAACATAAACAGGCAATAAAAGATGACTATGTGACATCGGAAAGTGATATTTTCTTTTCTGAAGTAATTTAAAGTTCAATCTAGTGTAGATTTTTTAACAAAATTATTCTCTGATGTATTTCTGCAGAAATTCTAATGTAAAGTAGTGTTAAAATTTATTTTAATATAAAAATAATTCAACAGTTACAATAGCAGCTAAGAAATAAGAGAAAATTCCAAAATTTATGGACTTATTTGATATTTACAAAATCTTGGACTCTTCCCCCCAAAAAGTTACTGGCCTAATTATGCATAATTCTAATTATTTATAATTAGGCCAGTAACTTTTTGGGTAACTGCAACAAAGCAAACTGTACTCTGCAAAATCTTCAGTTAAAAAAGTATCTCTAAATTCAAGGATACATCAAAGCTTTCAATACAAGCATTCTTACTTTAGAATGTATTTTCTGTTCAAAAGAAAAAGAGCAAAATATAATCAAACGTATAACATTTTAATCACAAAAGTTAAACATACAACTTTAAGCTGTAACTGTACATATGTTTTCACATAATTAAGTCAACAGTTATTTTCATAAGAATCATATATAATTATTTTGGAAACTATAAACAATACTGCTGCAGCAAGAAATTTAAACAAGTTATTGAAGTCGGAATAGACATGAAGTACAGAAAATATGAAACCTGGGAATGTGAGCAAGAAAAGTCCACAAGTCTTCCACATAATATATTTCTTCTTTTAAAATTAATCATATATCACCTCTTCAGACCTTTAAATCACTGGTACCAGCTAGTGATTCAATGTTTATCCAGTAACATACATACATACGCATGTGAATTATTATATTCATAAAATCACTTTTGTTATAATCTCAAGCTATAGCTTTGGCTTCAGGCAAAAATGATTCCCAGTGTTTAATCAACTATAAAAGAATAAATAAATTAGACACTTTTTATACAATTATAAAGTAAGAAAAATTATTAATTAGTAAGGCTTGCAAAACACAGCTACATAAATAGAAAAAACTTTATCATTAAAAATATATGGTTGATTAATACTCGCATATCTATACGCATAGTTTCAACAATTTTGGATTAAAATGTCAACAACTATTACTCAAATTTAGTTTAGAAGATAAATAAATGTAGCTTGTGATTTTAGCTCTTTAAAATATTCTGCAGTAATAAATTTATAATTCTTGTTTCCATTTGATTTTTTTATTAAATGAGATTTTATGTTTTTAATTTTTGATACATCTTATTTAAATTTTACTCCTTTATGTGTAAATAATAAAGCATGACTCATAAAATAAAAATTAAGAATACATAAATATTAATGATTACACTTATCCTTTAAAATCTATGAACTATGGTCACACTCATATACAAGTTCATGCCTTTTTCAGGTATGAACTCAAACCTGTTCAACAATGTAGACAAGAATTATGTATTTCATATTCACAGAGTAAAATTCTAAATTATGCTCGTAATAACCACGTTAACATTCAACATATTGCATTGAATTAAAATTTCACGGAATTTTAACATAATTCAGCAGATTTAAAAATTTGTCACATATGATGTACACAGAACAAAGAAATTCAAGTTTTCAAAAAAAGTGTTTTCTTAAAATTTAGAAATACTATTTAGCATACTATTTGACTACCAATAATCTTATAAGCTATATTTTCTTACATAATTTCTTCACATAAATAATGAGAGGTAGTAAAATACTTGCATCTCTAATCAATTAAAAAAGCTCAAACTATAGTAATAAAAGCATATCTTTGCATATTAGCAAAGTTCCTACTGAAATTCAGCTTTAATTTCTTATTTTTCAAAACCAAATGGAAAAATTTGCTTTACAAAACATAACAAATTAGTTATTAAATGTAAGAAATGTGCAAAAAACTAAAAAAAAAAAAAAAAAAAAAAAAAGACATACAAGCTTTTCCAAAATTTCTTAACTTAGAAAACAAAAAATAGTTTGGATGAGAATGGCACTGAACTGGCCTTGAGAATTTTTCTTTAGTAATTATTAAAACATTATCAAACTTGAACAAACTGGAACACAGGGTGCAGCCATACTAAACTGCCAATAACGTAGAAGAATGAAATGCAATTTAACAGCAACTTTAAAATCTTATGTCGAAACTTTACTAAAATATTAAAGCTATGATAGGAAGAGACAGAATAATTTTATATGGTTAAATTTCAAGCTTAAGTTTATCAAATTACTAGTCATCTGGATACTTATTTTCTCAAAACAATCCTTCCAAACTATACATTTTTAAGTATTTTCTGATTATTTGTATACACCAAAAAGTATTCACAAGGCAAAACATTACTGTTTGCAAAATAAGCAGCCCATGTGGCAACCAAGGTAGGGGGCCACAACAGACAAGCACGGACCATTAGTGTTTTTCGGGGGGATCTTAATAGGACTGTGGAGTTTGTCAGCTAATGAAAAAAAGCATTGCATTTTTTCCCCAGAAATATGAAATTTTACAAAACAATTCACACTGCATGAAGTTATACTTCATAAATGATCAAATGTTACAAATCAAAATTTGTGCCAATGCCAAATTTGAGAAATTCTTGGATTTTTTTCCCAAGTGAAAAGATATCGCCATGTGCATGGAAAAACAGCAGCACATGCAATTTGATATTTTTTGTTTAACAGCAACAACAAATCACTGTGTAAGTGGGAAGAACCACAATGTGTGCAGTACCCAGTTGTGCATGATGTTGAGTTTTAAATTTCTCTGACATCTTTTGAAGTCAAGAGTTCACTGCATGTGTGAGCAAAATAGCACCCAAAAAACTATTTTATTACTGATATTTCTTACATTTTAAATTAGTTGATTGATTGCAAATTTAATCAGAAAGTACAAATTTTTATGTCTGTGTTTAACTAATCTCAGATTATTCTTATTCTAGGTATGGAAACATTTTCTAGCCACAAATTATGCATAAAATCAATTTTTATATAATTGAAACATCTAACTGACAGACTACTTTTTATGTAATTGAAACAACTGGTAGAATACTTTTTATATAATTGAAACATCTTACTGGTAGAATACTTTTTAGTAACAATAATAACAAACCTGCTGCTGAGTTTCTAGGAGGGACTCCATGTATTTTACAATACTGACTTTAAAATCATGCACTCTACTCTTCTCAAAACGTTCAACTTCTTTGCGAATCATTTTTGAAATATTTTCAAATTCTTCTTGGCCACGTTCTGCCTTGGCCTCCCACTATGAAGAAAATTTTTAATGTAATAATAGTAAAAAGTAAAATACAAGTATATTCACTCTTTAAATGTCATGGTGAAAAATATAAACATACAAAACAAAAATTAAAGCAGCCAGTTTTCATGCAACGTTATTTCTCAGACTTACCAAACACCCATGAACAGCGTTTAGCACTGCTGCCTGTAATATATATAAGGACAACATTGTTTAGTGCATGCTCCACTAAGAGACTTGCCACCTTTTATTTTGAGGGTATAACTTGGTAAAAAATTGTAAAGGGGGAAAAAAAACACTTTCATCCATATTGTAGACATTACATGAAGTAAATTTTTCTCTCACTAGGTCAAATTTAATGCAACCAATTGTTTCATCAACTTTATTTCTTTCATCACAAATCACTAATGCTGAAATCGAGTGTCTCTTTTGGAAGTGGTACAACCAACGAGTGGAACAAATGAAATCTTGAAAGCCTAAATTTTTTGTAACCAGCAGAACAAATAAAATATTGAATGTCTAATTTTATTTTTGTACGCTCATTTGCTTTTGACTGAGTTATAGTTCCACTTAAAAGTAGAACTTTGAAAGAGTGCCTAGGACTGAACCATTCTAGAAGTAAAGTTTTAACATCTTCAAACTTACAAATGTGAAATCGATTGGATTTGTTCCCAGAAGTCGATGCAGCAGTATTAAGAATTTTTTTCAAAATCTTTAAGTATTGTGGATACGGTAGATTTGGCAGTTACGTACTCTTCTGGCAGTTGTACTTTTCTTCAATACCTACTTTTAGGATTAAGTTTTATTTGCAGCTCTTATGCCTGTCTTCTTCCTCTTGGTCATGAATCACATTCCAGCTCCTTGCAATTTAACATTAGTTGTCACATCCTGAAAGCTATCACAATGCAATCTACAGGTCTATCAAACAGTGTCACTAGAAAGTTTCAGAGAATAAAGATATATTGGTGCATGCATATATAACTAAACTACAGTGCAGTACATCTATGAAAATGCTTTATTGTAAATGCAATTCATTTAAAATTTAACTAGAATTATTCATTTAGTATGCTGTGCCCTAATGAGTTTTAGGAAGAAAAAATAACTCACCCCAGTGACCACTGGAAGAAGACAGTTACACTGATAATACAGGATTACTCAAAATTTAACATCAGTCATACTAGCTAACACTTAAAGAATAAGAAAAGACGATTGTGATTTCGAGCAAGGTTACTTGTGCTGGCTACGTTTTAAAGAATAGTGTTTTCTGTCATGTTTTCAATTAAATGAGACAGAACATTCTGAACAGGGGGAAATATATATAAGAAAAGCTTTGAAGGGTCATGTAAAGTGATAAAATATAATGATGCAGTAGACTAAAAAAACAGATTGTGATTTATGCTAACCAAAATTCACATTAACTAGTTTGTTTATTTAGGAAGCAGTCCGGCCTGCCTGATGAACGAAGCTTGTCACAAAGGAGCTGCACCCATATTATACTCACATTAACTGGTAACGTTTCCTGTAAGGTCACAAACACTGCTGCTGGGACTGAAATTTTATTCATGTTAACCAAGTGTTTGTCTTAAGAGAATTCATGCTGAAGGGGGAGGGGTTACTGTAATGCACATTTAGATATAAGATGAATCTTAATCTTTATTAACAGAAAAGTTCCTTTCTATAAACACCTGTTCATGTGAGAAGATCAGAATCAATTTCACAATTGTCTGTACTAGTGAAAACTCAGAAAATATTAAAGAGGAGGAAAAAATGACAGTAAAATGTGTCAAGAGAAAGACATTTTGGATCAAAAGAAGTTAAGGTGCTTCTTTATTTTTTACGGCCCACTGCTTATAGGATGTATTTTTTAATGAACTGTACCTCCACTCATAGCTCTTTGCAAAACGTCCCCAAATGGCTGGAAGTCCTAACTACAGTTAATTAAAGTCCAGCTGCCATTAAAAAATGGCTCTGAACATGGTTACTGTTTTGGCAGAGTTCACTAACAAGAGGGTTCTTGGAATCATTTAAATAAGAGAGGTTATAACAATACGAAAGAATTACAGATAATTCAATAACTGTTCTTATTCTTTCTTTTGAAAATTCTTCTAACAATATATGAAACTGATCACTTCTTCTCTGTAAAACAAAGCTATTGCATGCTAATTAACATCAATACAATTTTCATTTTGCCATAACCTTTTCTGGATTTTTTGCCATTAGCATACTTCGCAACTTCACGAAAATAAAAAGCAGAAATAAGTGCAAACATATTTTACATAGAAAGCTGACATGTATTTGAATATTTTGAAAGAATCACATGAAGGAAAAAAACTTGTAAAAATTAAGTATGTGAAATTAATTTTAAGATAATTATAGTAACTTTTTTAGTTTTGCTAAAAAGCAATTAAGAAATTCTTCTTTATAACATTATCATATTTAATTTCAAAATACAGATACTTGAAAATGCCAAAATGAATGACCAAAGATAATTAAAAACATAAGATGGAAATAAAATTATTTTAGTTTGTTATTTTTCTGAAAACCATTATTTTAATATAACTTTATTTTAACAATATTGTAATATATTTATTTAAAAAACCATCATAAAACTTAATCACTGAACCAAAAATTTTTAACATTAATTAAAAATCAACGAACTTGAAAATGCCAAAGGAGAACTCGTACTGCAAAAGATGAAGTTGCTTTTGGTGCAACACGTAAAATAATTTAAATCGTAACTCCAAATGTTCCAACAAGAACATGCAACTATAAATTTGCTGAACTGGCACAATTTATAGTCTCCTTAATAAAAATTGCAGAATTCATAGAAAATTTTCAGCATAAGGACTTAAAAACCAGGCAGTTTTCGTAAAACTTGCAACAAATTCATAAAAACTGGCAGGTATGCATTAAACATGGATTTAAAAAACTTGCTAATTATTGCCAGTCTACAGTATTACAGAAAATTTACTTAAAAGTCACAATATCCGCAATCATTTACTTTACTTTGCTTGATTGGTTGGTTAGTGGTTCTCCAACGGAATGTTCTGGGTCCATCAATCGTGCTGAAGTCAAGGCAGTCAAATTCATCCTGTAAATATGGAGTCCTCCTTAGTTTCAGATTGTTCTGTTAATGGGAGATTTTTCACAACTTCATTTCTTCTCCTTCTTTCTTCCTCATGGCCTTTGGTCCATAGTGACTATGAGCCAGTTTCCTTAGACATACACTTTGCACATTCAAATAACCTAACCAGAAACACATATCTTTTGTCCATGCAACTGAAGAATTTTCCAGTAAAAGTGCGATTTTTATGAACTTTACACACCAACCTTCTTGAAGAGTATACTTTCCTTACAGTAGGAGAAGACACAGCTGTGACATCAAGGTTGAAGGCCAAGAAACTTTTTTCAATGCAGACAAACAGTTGTTAACATCTGTTCGAAAAATTGGGTGTACAACCAACCACGCATTCTGAAACTTTCTTCCAAAGTGCGGTTCACTATTCCCTACAATGTCAGTTTGCGACAGATCCATTCCCAACTACGTGGTTTGAATTCTGTATCCATTCAAAGTGTTAATTCGCATTCAAGGGAGTCACAAAAAAAAAAAAAAAAAAAATATCAGATGAGCAAAATTAAGGAACTCTTGCAAATTTTAGCTCAAATAAAAGACTTTTAAGGAACATATACAAAGCTTGATGTATATAAATGACCACCGAAATAAATTTTTCTCAGGGATATTTAGCTGGTTAACACAAGCACATGTACATCCTCAATATATTCCCTTGTAAAAAATGAAGTTTATTAGCCCAGGAGGGCTATTAATTTTATTTTGGCATTTTGTGTCAAATCACTATAAACAGCATATCATTACTTTTAACTTTTTAATTTGTTGGCACCAAATATTATCGCCCTGTATTATATTTGAAGAAAATTGATAATGAAGAATCTGCATAAATGCATGTATGTTTCTGGCATTGTGATAAATGAATGGTACCTAGAGTCATCAAATTTTGAATAACGTAATCCTCCACCTGAATATGGGCACTGGAAGCCCAAATTTGGAATTTGTTTTATTATCTATTTCACATTTTCCAAAACTTAATGAATTTTTTACTAACAAATTCAACGATTTCAAAACGAGCAATGGCAACACTTTACAGCAGGAATTTTTTTTTTTTTTTTTTTTTTTACCTCCAGCATGAGACTGCATCAGAAATTCTAAAGATATGCTCTTTTTAAATCATTGTGATATTTCTTGAATTTCAAAGTTTTAAGTGTGAAGAACATATTTAATAAATAAACATAACACGCAAAATGTTAAAAAAGGGCCCCTTTAGGCACAATAAAAAATCTGAAATTTTCAAGTTTTTTTTTTTTATCCTTACACAAATTTTGTTATAGTACTTGAATAAATACTTCATAGCCTTGTTAAATATTAATATGTTAAAAATCAGAACTGACTTTTAATTTCAAAAATAAATAAAGTTCTTTCATTAACACATACTGAAGTCCCAGTATGCCCTAATTCACTGTAATGAATTATAGATTATTAACAAACTATGTCAGTTATATTAGTAAATTAGCATAAACATATATTTTGAAACCAACATTTCAGAAAGAAAATGTGAACTCAGACTGAAGTTTAAAGTAACAATTTATAATAATAAATAACTTAAGCAAGCAAAATGTACAAATTGAAAATTAATTAAAATGTACAGTAGGTATATAAAGCAGATGAGGAACCTTACTTCAATGACTTCTTCCTTAGCCTGAGGTATTTTATCAGCTTTTCCAGCCAGCTCAAGCTTAGCTTTCTGTTCTCTTTTCTTCGTAAGAACTTGTTGAGCATGTTGCCAAGTTTGATATACTTTGACTCTCTGATGAAATACATCCTAAAAAACAAGGATTCATTTTTTAAAACTATTTTCGAATTATGTTCTCTTGCATGTGATTTTGTAAAACATTTTTTGAATATTTCAGTTAGAAAAGCTTAAGTTAAAAATACTGAATAAGCATTTATGTAAAAAAAAAAAAAATCCCTTAAGTGGAAAAAAAAGGTCTCACCCACATACATTTCTGCACCAAACTGGATTTGATGGGTGAGCACTCACACATAGTTAAATGTTTAAAAAATCTTATAAATTTCTTTTAATAAAAATTTTAAATATTTTATTTTTGTGATACCTACATGCAAAGAAATGTGCTGAGTGAAATTGGCTGTACATGCAAGCTTCTTTGAAAGTCAATCATAGAAACAGAATTTAAAATGAATTAAAAAATCTGATGTGTACACCATATGACTTCCTTTTATAGAATATTAAATTATATACATTTGTTCCTGCATTTCATTTAAACTTATTTCCTCAAATTTCATGATATATTTCTCATTCAATTAATTTCTCTCTTAATGTCTAGGCAAAAATACATAAAAACTCAAAATATCTTCATTAAAAATTGAAAGATATAGAAAAAATAAAACACCAAATACCATTAAAACAATTAAAATTACAGTTTCTATGCAAAAATAAGCAATTCGGCCAGTAGGCACATTTTTTTTGGTGCACAAAACTAAAATTTTCTTTTGGTCCAACTCTGCAAAAAGACACTGAAGATGCAGAAAGACTTAATTCACTAATCTGCTAAGTTTCAAATCATTCTAAAGCCTACTCGTTTTTGAGTTATGCTAGATACATACATACGTACAGATCCCATGAAATCTCTTCTGAATCCATTTTAAATCAGTTTTTTAAATTCATTTCGGGAAAAAGAGTCCTTTATTCTGTTCTTACGTACAGATGTCATGCAAAAACATTGCCAAATTAAATTTGATAGTGGTCAAAATGGATATTTTCGTTGAAATATGGTATCCAGAATTTTTCGCGATTACAGTATTTCCTTTACTTTGTACGAAGAAGTAAAAATAGACGCAAAATATTTAAAAAGCAATTTAGACTGCTACCAAAAAGCATAAAATAAATGAAAGGGCTATCATAAGATAAACTGTCACTGTCAGATTCAAACTGCAAGTACCTCTAATATTCCACAAATTTAAATATAGGTTATACATATAGTTAAATTCTGCCAGTTGTCTTATCTCAAAGGTTATATATACAAAGCAAATATACAAAGCAAAATCACAATAAGCGAGACTGCCATAATTAATTCTGTTCCAGTCTAATTCCACTCAGGATTCCCCATGATGGAAAGTTGCACATCCAGTTGATGGAAAGTTGCATTTTGTTTGTCAGCGATGATACTCCTTGGCAAAGCTGTGGAAAGTTTCAGGATTTGGTTACCACTCTACCAAGGTTCTAGTGGAGAGGATGAATTTGTTTTTTCTCTTGCAGGTTTAAAGAACAGCATGTAGCTGCTATTCTTTTGCAGTATTACATCTGTAGGCAGATATATCTGTCTCTACTAGCTTGATACAATGGCCAGTGAGTTTACACTTTCCTCATGCAAAGTTTTCGTATGCAGGATTGGGTCTTCTTCTCTAAGAGCTATGTTTAAGTCCTTAGTCACACTAATGGAAACTATGGCAGTATGTGAGCAGCTCTGCACTCAACACATACATAATAAAATATAAGCCTCAGATTTTCTGCATCTGTGTCCCACACAATATTAAAAATTACTTTGCAATGGAAAAAAGACAGAAGGAGTTACTGTGTTTTTCCGAGCAAGAGGTCAAAACAGTTTCAGTCTTGTATTAAGGCACGCATCGAGTGGTGCGTTTTGCAAATTTATTTGTTTAAGTTTAAATATTTCATCCTTATAAATTGATAAACATGAGTGAGAAACTGCAGTGTTGATGGGAACAAAAAGATAAATACTCAAACTTTATATGATGGAAATAATTAAACGTTCTGAAGGTGCTGAATCTTTTGCTTCATTGTACGATGTAAACAGATATATGGTATGTTCAATTTTGAAAAAAAAAAAAAAATTAAGGAATACATTCAAAATTGTGGAAATATTTCTTTAAAGATTGTTTCCAAAAGATATGGCATAGTGATGGATGAAATGGAAATATCTTTGTCATCATGGATTAATGATCAACATCAAAATAATGTTCCTCTGAGATTTTCAATTATTTAAGCAATCGCTCTTAGTTTGCATGAACATTGGACGCCAGATAAAATGCAGATTCAAATACAGTATTTCAAGCACGTAATCGCTGTTCAACAAATTTAAAATGAGATATTCTTTACATAATATTAAACTTGGTGGAAAATCAGCTCATGCAGATAAAGATGCTGTGAAAGATTTCCTTATTGTCCATATTATTGTAGATGGAGAATATTCTCCTAGTCAAATATTCAGTGTAAATTAAATGGGTTTATTCTGGGGAAAAAAAAAAAAAAAAAAAAAAAGCCTAATCATAAATTTCTATCGAAGGCAGAATCAGTTGCCTTTGGACATAAAACTTCCAAAATCTAGGTTTGGATATGCAACTAATGTTGTTGCGAAATACTTGGTTAAACAACTAATGTTGTTGAAAAATAAAATACATAACATATTACTTCCAGTTTTGATCAAAATGTTAATATTGCCAAAAAATGGTATTACAAGTCCATCCGTTCAATTTATTAGCTCTTCCCTGCTTGGACACTTCAGAATGTGAAAATCATGTCCTTCAGTCTTTCTTTGTTTAGATTTTCAATTTGCACCATACTTACGTTAGAAATATTTGATGGGAACATTAAGTTTCAAGTTTTATAAATGAATTTAAGCATATAGATTGCCCTATGTAAACACATGTAAAAAAATCATTTAAGTTTTAATTAAAAAATAAAATCTTATGCACATCATTAACTTGACCTTCGTTATTTTGCTCCGATTATTTTAAAATTACGCATATTGGCTATTAATGTAGAACATTTAAAATTGGATAAAATATTTAGAGAGAACTAGAATCTAACATTTTAAAATAATATTTTTGACATTCGGATAAGCACTTCCAAGAGTATAAAAACTTAACCTACTAAGATGAAACGAAAAACATTAAACAAAAAACGAACACGTCTACATGCTTCAGTACTGCAGGTTATCAAAAATGTTGGTATTTAGAAGAAAACCAAGGCGATTTAGAAAATTGTTTGGAATAATTAAATAACAAGGAACCAAACTACATAATTTAGATGAATAAATACAAAATTAGACTAAGATGACTCAACATTAGAGTTAGATATTAGAACTTCAATTTAATATAATAAAATAATAATAGCAAAGTCTAAAATCAACCAACACTTAAAAAAAGCTCAATACTTTGATTCCCATGATATGAAATTATTCAAAATAGTAATTCAAAAATTTTATGCAGAATAAACCAGTAGATGAATTTTTGAAATTCACTCAAAGTTACGATTCATGATAATGTTACACTTAACCAAACAGGGGAAAAAAAAAAAAAAAAAAATTATTTGAAATCTTGTTTATCAGGATATGCTGTACCAGCTATAGGAGGGCTTTCAGTTTTGGGAGCTAATTAGGATTCAGCTATAAAAATTCTCAAAAATAGATAGTCAAAATTAAATAATATACATTTCCAAATTTTTAAATTTCAATCCTATTCAAAACTCTAATGAAGCGAAAAAACTGCAAAAACTTTGATACCATTCAAATTAGAAGCCTTTCAGCACTAGAAATAAATCCAGAAACACATAAAATGTGTCAAATATGTCAAAAGAATCCTTTGTTACTTGCATTTCATAGAGTTTCGAGAAGATGAGAAAATCGCAAAGTCATCTAGGACAAATTCCAAAATTTTATTGCCAAACATAAGAACCAGTGGAAATCTATAATCGAGCGAGCTGCATAGTAGGGGAGGGTTTTATGAAAGACTCATTAGATCAGTCCAAGAATGTTTAAGACAAATTGTAGGGGAAGAATTGTTGAACTGAAGAAATGTCGATACTACTCATCAAGGTAGTCAATTCTTAACTCACGGCCTCTGATCTACATTTCTAATCAAAACAATGAACCACAACTCTTTAACACTAATCCATGTTCTAAAGACAGACAGAGAAAACAGTTCAAAGTATCACCGAGTTTTGCAAAAATGATCGGAAGTAAAACAAAATCAAAAATGGCTTCTTTAACTATTATGTATTTTACGCTCTCAAAGTTTGTTCCTCAGAACCACTGCTTGCTAATGAACTCAATTGTTTAAGATCAGTACAAACCGACCAAGAATTTTCTCTCAAGGTCATTGATAAAGCCTTTAAAAGATTTTGAACTTACCATCAAAAAAGATGTTTTGCTGTTAGAAATAAAATTAATAACTTTGTTGTGTTTCCATTTTATCCTTCTGTCAGTTATGAAGTTATATGGATTATCCAAAAGTTTAATTTAAAAATAATTTTCTCATCTATTAATAAAATCCATGGTTCATTCCTTAAAGGTTCTATTACTGACTTTCATTCTTAGAGAATTAATAGCATATAGTGCCAGTATGGTTTGAAATATCTCAACCAAACTTAAAGAGCATTGAAGTTTTGCATCAAGGAACATGAATCTTGTGTCCAAAAAGACAAAATTAACAAGTCTTTGACTTGACAGCTAATAATAGCTGGGAATATAATCATAATTTTGACTTTGGGTTTGAAAAAATTATCTAAGAAGCTTCTCCCATCGGAATTAGATTTTTTTAAAGCTTTTCATATTCACAAAGATTTAGCTTGTTTAGTTAATTAATTCAAGTCCAATCCAATCTTTCCTAACACTTTTAAAAATCCTATTAACATAATTTTTCAATTTTCATTGCTAATTTTGTCGACAGATAGTGCTATCTTCACTACTACCTTACTGTTACTGCAGTAGGGTATAAATAAGACCGTTATGCCTAGTTATGTCTTGGAAATTTCTTTGCTCTTGATGAAGAGGGACATGTTTTCAGGCCTGCCACTCAAACAGGAGAATGAAATTCAGACTTTTCCAGGTGTGTTTTAAGAAAATTCCAGTCTATCCGCATAATGCGCATTGGCTGTGCTTTAGAGATAAATTAATTATGGTAACACTTGAAAACACAAAAATTTGACAATTACATAAGACTAGAAGAAAGTGATGAAAAGTGACGCCAAGAAGAAAGTGACGCCAAGAAAGTGATGGCTTTCATCAATGTTGGCATAAAAATCGTTTTTTTATTTTTTTTTTATCACTGTATGAAATTCCCCGGTTTGCCCTCAAAACTGATTGAGTTTTTTTGTCTAAATCTACGTGAAATATGAGGTTTAATTTAAAGTTTCACTTCAACATGTTTCTCTTTTGATTTAAATTACTGTTATTTTATGCGACTACTTAATACACAGCAAAAGGTTTTGATAATTTTCAATATAATTGTTTTACTCTGTTTTTTTTTTTTTTTTAATGTTTTTCTCTGAATGGCTTCTATTTCAAATGCAATTTCAATATTTCTGAAGATCTCTAGTAACTTTTAAATACTTTACAACAACTTGAAAATGCCATTTCAAGATTTTAAGAAATGCAGAAATTGTGCAGCAATTGTAAAAGCATGTATGTGTACATGGTTTTCAAAAATACATCTTAAAAATTAAATATGCCACATTTGTTAAAGCACAAGGAGGAAAAAGAATTTTTTTATATGTCTTATCATTTAGCAAACATTCAAAAAAATCTGGGTTTCCCTTTTTATTTTTACTTTAAATGCTGGTGTTATAAAGACGAAAATAAAAATTGATACAAATAAAACTATCAAAAAATATTTGGAATTTATACAACACCAAACAGCAAATGTTTATTTACTTTGTTAAAACGAAAACCTATGCTCACATTGCATTAAAAATCTGCAACAAACCTTAACAGATCCAATGAGAGAGATGTAATCCTTAAGTAATTCTGATAGAAGGAAAAAATCTTGACCAGCTTGATGGCTATGTAACTGTTCAATTTTCTCTTCTACTTCAGCCAACTGAGACAAAGCACGAGACAATGCAGTATGTTCCTCACAATTCCCCAACATTGCTGCACTTTTTGCAAAAGCACCAGTATTGGTAGCTAATTCTAAAATGAAGTACCCAAAGGAAATTAGAAATCAATTTATTTTCAACTAGATTAATTGTTTAAAAATATTTATTGCTTTAGAGAGATCTTAATATACAGAATAAAGGATACTTTTAAAGTATCCATCAAATTTAAACATTACAAAAATCAATATTATAAACTGGCTTTAAAAATTGAGCACACAAGTTCTTACCAACCTAAATTAAATCTAACCATAGTACTGTTTCGTAAAACATAACATTTTCCTGCTTTCAGTTTTCATGATAAAACTTTATCACTTCATGTTTTAAAATTATAAACTAAACATTTTTATGTTATCAGAATTTTACACAAGGGTAACTAATACAAATAAGCAAGTTGATTATAATTTAATAAAAAATGAATTTTCATATAATTTATGCTACCATATCATAAGCTATCAGAAGCATACAGCATTGATTATAATGCTTTAAACCAAAATAATTATGCAATATTGTCACTGATTTTTTTTAAAGAAAAGATAGTTGCATATTAAATACTACCAACAATTTCTATAAATGACAACCTGCCAATAAATAAGATTACTTCTTACACACATAAAGTCATAACCATTTTCTGTTAATAGCATATCTGATCAATTTTTTAAACTTTCATAATTGCCCCTTGAATTTTTCAAGATGTGAAAATAGTTAAAGGTTTATTTGATTATGGCGAAGCACTCAAGGGTTATCTGCCTAAGGGAAGATATGCCTTATTTAGTTATTTAGTGGAGGATTTTCAAAGAGAAACTTGCTTGTAATGCACATTACACATGGGGAAAAGCACAAAAACGCCCATGCTGCTAGCCCATTTTATATTATTTGAACCCTGAACCAAACTACCAGTGTTCAGTGATTTTACTGCTCAGCTGCTGGTAAGCCTGATGTGAAAACTATTCACTTTTGTGAGATCATAGTGTAATGCCAAAGAATAAGAATATGCTTATTCCCATGAAAAAAAAAAAAAAAAAAAAAAAAAAAAACTATACATAACTCATGAAAGCATATTATGGAAGAGAAAGCCTAACAGCAGCAAACAAACAATAAAAAGAAAGAAATCAGCTGAAGCAAGCAGATCACACTTATGACAGTATTTTTTTTTATAACTGTTAGTGATTCTGTACAAATATCCTTTAATTATGAATGTGATTAAATCCTGTTACAACAGCTAACAAAATATGATTAATTCCATTACTGCCAGTATATGAGTAGGGTAGGTTTTATAAAATGCTTTGAATGCCTGTGAAGAATTACATGAGGGGAAGTCATCAAGTAGCCAAATAACTACTTTAAACCATTCACATTATAACCAGAGCACAACAAATTTCAACTGCTGATATTAAGTCAGAAAAGTACAGAAGCTGCACATGTAGTCAAATAATGGACGAAAACAATAAAAAATTAACAAATGATTTACCTTCTCTTTTACAAAAAGACTTATCTCCCATTAACAAATCTCGAACCATTCAATGTTTCATCACTGTCACCATTTCTATGGCTTCCAATATACTCATTCTTTTTTTTAATGATTCTTATGGAATATCCCGTTGAACATAAAATTGTCATTAAGTAACAAAATTTAGCAAAATTATGGATACGCATAATGTAACAACAGTCTCATAAGATATGTGCTTTTGTGGATTCATTCTTGAAAAGCCAAGTTTGGTTTTTATGAACAAAGATATTAATTAATCCTTATTGCTGTATTTTGGGGGTGGGAAGGAATTTAAATTTGAAGCCCGTCTTCTACAAAATTGCAAACAGTGGATTATTTTCAAAATTATAGGACTCTACTATCAAAAACATGTGTATTAATGGACATGACTTGGTCAGTTCCCTATGGCTGACAAAACACTAATAGACTGGAAAAATTTAACTAAGTGATATTTACACCAAGTGTTCTAAACAGAGCTTCCAAAAAAAAAAAAAAAAAAAAAAAAAAAAAGAGGCTTGGAAAATCCGACAGGAGGGCTTAACGTAATATTAGAAATCAACAAAAGCCTTTTTCTGAAAAAAAAAGTAAAATAAATCAGGTTGTGTACCAATTGTTTATTAATGAGACATCATTTACCTCTTAATTTCACAGAAACAACTCTCATAACTTTAGCGCCATCTCTGCCAGTTTTCATAAGTCAATGGTAGCTAACTTTCTTGGTTGACAGGATAATACTTCCTTAATTTTTGAAAATGAAATTACCTCATGTAGATATTTCTACTAATATCTGAATATGAGTGCTATGAGATTTTTTTCCAATTGAAGGACTGGGTTTGTTTAACACGTTTAGAACATTGCGTAGGCATAATGAAACAATTCCACTCTTCAGCCCAGCGTCGCTTACATGGGAAGAGCTCTGATCAAGCTCTTTTGCCCAGCATCACACATGAGTAACTTGAAAAGAGAATGATTTAAAAAAATATTTTTAAATGCCAGTAGATGGCGCTAAATGGCAATGGTTTTCACACCGTTTAGGTCATGTGGCTTTTGACCTTCATGTACGAGCATCAGTTTCTGTTCTGTGCTTCTGGTTTGGATAGATTTATTGGTGCAAACAAACTGGGAATCACAACTCTAAGTTAAAGGGACACTGGAATGTTTGTTTATTTTTTACAAACATATTAGGAATTTAATTTTTTTTTTGGTTGTCTTTATTTTTATTCTTAGCGTTTTTCGTTATTAGAATGTGGGGAAGTGCATCCAGCTTAATGTTTCTTTTCTTTCTTTCTTTTTTTTTTTTTTTTTTGTTGTTAGGAGAAATAGAAAAAACGAATCTAGCTGACTATAGCGGGTGTAACATCTCCAAACTTCCGTTATGGAAAAACTCAAACTTTTTTATATTTATTTTAGAACTTAACATAGACTTTCTTGGCTAACTAAAAAGTAACTTTACATCATTATTACTGAAGGGGAAAGACATCAGATTTCCTGTGTGTCGATCATCGTTTCAAATTCTTCCGCACACAGCAGAATTATTAAACTGAAATTTAATTACCTACAGATAATTTTTTTGCTTAATTTTTTTTTACATTTTGTATTAGTAATTTTGTTTTTATGTGCATAGTATTTGCTTTTATTCGTACAGTTATAAGTTTAGTATTGTGCATATTACATTTATTTCTATTAACATGATATTCTTTATATTAATACATGTTAAGAAGTATATTAAGTATAATTCCAAAAATTGAGGTCATTATATGAATTTTTTTTGTAAAAGTAGGCTTTGTGGGCCGGTGATGACATTTCATTTTGGAAAGGGAGGTGTCGGCTTCATGGCTGCACTTTGTTCTCTGCGCACTAGTCCTCAAGGGGTAAAGCATCTTCCCTTCCATTTTCATTTCAAGTCATTTTGGCTTGCCAAAAATTTCACAGGAAACTCATAAACTGGGAGAAACCTGTATGTGGCTTACATAGTAAACTACACATTTAATGGGAAATTATTCCAAATGGCACTATAGAAATAACAGGTATAAGTTAAATGCAAGAAAGTACATCTAAAATTATTTGCTGCCCAGACATGATAGATGTTAGCAACGCTGACTGCTGTACTGAAGGGCTTGGGTATCCTAGAAAGGGCACAGCTATTTGTAAATGTATAATGACTGTGCAGCATAAAGGCATTCAAGAACATACGGCAAGTCGAAAGTTGTTGAAAGTTCTCTTGAATGGTTTGCTGGTAGGAAGAACCTTGCACCTGTTTTCTGGAAGTTCTCCTTCAAAATTATGGTAAAAATGGATTAAGTCATAGCATCATCTACGTCAATGTTTCCCAAAGTGTGGGTCGCAGAAATATTCAGCCGGCAAAAATTGTAAAAACACAAAAAATCCATAACATTTTGCTCTAAATTTAATATTTTTCAAAACTTTTTCAAGTACTGCAAGTGGCAACCCTTTACTACCGCACCTTTTAAATTCAGATTGCTCTGATTGGCTGATTTCGATTCGTCATTCAGTGCATTCTCTGGTATATGCGCCGTAATCTCACATGTATCAAAACAAGGTTATGTTTGAATTTTTGTTACCTATTTTATTTCACAATGCTTATTATTACTTATTATTAATAGCAACTTCATATTGGTAAGTAATCAAAATACTTTTTTTTTTTAAAATCATTAATAAACAAATTCTTTTTAGTAAAGCTTTCAACCTTTTTTAAAATGGATAAATGGTTAATGAAGAAAACCACAGATTTAAATGATGATGATCAAGCAAGCATGAGCAAAGCTGAAGATGATCATGAAGAAACTGTGCCTAAAGCAGATATACAGTGGCAAAATAACAAGCGTAAAGCTACTTGGACTTGCAACTATCGTGACGAATATTTAAGCTTTGGGTTTATTGTCGGTGGCAGACAAAATAATTTGCCGTGATGTGTTATTTGCAATGAGCAACTTTCAAATGAAAGTATGAAATCATGAAAGTTAAAATGGCATTTAAGCATACTCCATTCTGAATACTCTGATAAGCCAATTAACTTTTTTACTGATAAGAAAAATGAATTGAAAGCTTCTAAAAAAAAAAAAAACACCTTCCCCCCGTCAAATAAAACCTCACTTGACATCGTTTGAAATTCCAAATTAATAGCTAACTGGGTACCTCATAGTGCTGGAGAAAAATTAATACTTCCCACTGTCGCAAATAATTTATGTGGAATAAAGGGAAATGTTATTTTCGGCGATTCCATTAAAAAAATAAAGTTAAATGGAGAAGGATAATTGCACGAAACATTAAGACTAGTTGCTCAAGTAAAAAAGGGCAGTTTTTTCCCCTTGCAAATAGATGAAAGCACAGAATCGAGGATATGCAAATCTAATGTTTTATCAGATTTGCCGAAGACACCATACAAGAAATGTTTGTTTGTAAAGGCCGACGAACGACCTCAGATGAAACTTTTAAGGCTACCAATGATTTTGTCACTAGTCCCAGTATTGATTGGATAAGTGTGTTGGGCTAAGTAGCGACTGAGCACGCAATGGCAGGCTGTCATAAAGGTTTGTTTAAAACAAA